TTTTTTTTTGTTGACGGTGCCACGCATTACGCGGCTTACGGAAGGTTTCAAGACCAGGGCGTGCTCCTGTAAGAACAACAATGGCGATCTAGTTACCGATGTTCCGCACATACTTAAATTATGGAGGGAACACTTTTCCACCCTACTGAATGGTAGCAGCAGCACGGAAAGTTGTGGAGAAGAAGAACTCGAGCACCCAGTCAATGATGACGGAGTCGATGTTCCTCCGCTGAAAAACAACAAAGCTGCTGGAGCTGACAGCCTGCCAGCAGAGCTATTCAAGTACGGTGGCGAGGAGTTGATAAGGTGCATGCATCAAATCTTATGCTCTGCCCAATCCACAAGAAAGGCGACTCCGCCTTCCGCGCCAACTACCGCGGGATCAGCCTTCTAAGCATAGGTTACAAGGTCTTATCGAGCGTATTGTGTGAAAGACTGAAACCCACCGTCAATGAACTGATTGGGCCTTATCAATGTGGATTTAGGCCTGGAAAATCCACCATAGACCAGATATTCACAATACGCCAAATCTTGGAAAAGACACGCGAGAAAAGGATCGACACTCACCACCTATTTGTCGACTTTAAAGCCGCTTTCGACAGCACTAAAAGGAGTTGCCTATTCACCGCTATGTCTGAATTTGGCCTCACCGCCAAACTGATACGGCTATGTAAAATAACGTTGAGCAATACCACCAGCGTACAATTCCTGGCGTATGACATAATCGATATCAAAAACGCGAAGTCTGTTGTGTCTTTTCCAAGTTGGATAGGGAAGCAAAGCGAATGGGTCCGGTGGTAAACGAGGACAAAGCGAAGTATCTCCTGTCATCAAACAAACAGTAAGCACATTCGCGCCTTGGCACCCACGTCACTGTTGACAGTTACAATTTCGAGAAAGTAGAGAATTTCGTTTACTTGGGAACCAGCATTAACACCGATAATAATGTCAGCATTGAAATCCAACGCAGAGTCACTCTTGCCAACAAGTGCTACTTTGGACTGAGTAGGCAATTCAGGAGTAAAGTCCTCTCTCGATGTAGGAAAACCACGCTCTATAAGTCACTCATCATGCCCGTGCTGGTATATGGCGCAGAAGCATGGACAATGACAACATCCGATGAGGCGGGCCTTTACGCGTTGGCGACGGCGAGTACCGCAGTCGATGGAACGATGAGCTGGATGAGCTTTACAACGACATGGACATAGTGCAGCGAATGAAAATACATCGGTCCGCTGGCTTGGCCATGTCGTTCGAATGGACACCGACGCTCCAGCTCTGAAAGTATTCAACTCGGAACCCGCTGGTGGTAGCAGAGGAAGAGGAAGGCCCCCACTGAGACGGAAAGATCAGGTGGAGAAGGATTTGGCTTCACTTGGCGTTTCCAATTGGCGTCAGTTGGCACAGAAGAGAAACGACTGGCGTGCTTTGCTGAACTCGGCCAAAATCGCTTAGGCGGTTACAGCGCCAAATAAGCAGAAGAAACTTCTCAAATATGGCGAAGATATGTGTTTTTAATATAATTTAATCAACGCGACCTTTTAGCAACTTCAAACATCCACTTTTTTATAAAATAATTTAAAAGACTACAAAACTACATATCTACCTTAAATCTTTTTAAAATGCAGCTTGTTATGTAATGTGCTAGACTTTTATAAAAAAAAAATATTAAACATTAAATAAGCAAGGAAAAATATAGCCAACACTGGTCGAAACAGGGCGTTTCTAATATTTCCGCCACCAGTGTATGTGTGGAAATCCTATCCTACTATTTTGTGGACAACTATATATATGTACGTATGTATTTACCTATGTATTTACGTGTACATACACACACACAATATACTAATGTAATTATTAAGTAGAGCAAGCGAGTTGGTTCCATTCACTTTTTGAACCAAAATTTCAACATTGTTTAACATGAAATTCGACCTTTAAATCTACAACGCATAAAAAAAAAGTATGCTTACATTAAATTAGGAGCATTTTAAGATGATGGATTGCAACGTCAAAAACCTAGGATAACTGACCTATAAATTGAGAAAATGGAGGCATAGCACAGAGGAAAGATCCGACTCATATAAACCAAGAGAACAATTCTCGATGTACATACATACATATGTATGCATGTACGTAAGTTCAAACGGAACACTTAGCACGTCGTCATGGTTGTGACAACACATGACGTAGCAGTTTTCTGATTCGAAATGAAAGTGCTTTTGAGAACGAGTATTTTTTTTTTACTTTTAGCTAATTTTAACGACTATAATGTCCATAAGAAGAGTTCTTGGCATTTTTCCGGCTGATTAAGATTCCATTTTTTACCTTGCCCACCAAGCTAAACATTTTCTTATGTATGTATGTATTGCGTACCTATACATATGTATGTACATTCGCAGTGTGTACTTTCATGCACATGTAACTTGTTTTTGCAGTCAATGAGGAGAGTAATGAACGATCGGAGACCGGTTCTGTTTTGCCTAAACTCCCATTCATGCATACATATGTTTATATATTATATATATATGTATGTACATTTAAGTATGTACGTTTGCATACATTTTTAGTAATGCGGCTGCGAACCCAAAATAAATTTTCGCTTTCTTTAGAATAGTTTGAGTTTTGCTTACCCAATTGGGACGAAAAACCATTCTTTATGGAGCATTCACCAGATGTAAATATGCCTCTGGAGGTCCGATCCGATCTGCTTTACAGATATCGCAGATGATCTGTGGTGGTATTCCGCAACAAAAAAAGGCGGGTGACCATCTGCGTTTTCTAAGCAACTGATGGTCAATATACATTTCTTTAGCCATTTACGCAATCTTTTCTCTTGATAAGCGTAGTACTTAATAAAAAAGACTTGTTCGAATAAAAGCCAGTAGTATTGTTGTGAAAGCCATCATTAAATGCATTATTGAATTCAACAGCCCCAAACATTGTCACTCTATTAAATAGAAAAGCATGAAAAGACACAGTTGCACTCACTCGCAAGGCAAGTATTTAGTATTGTATAATACTCGTAGATGCAAAAATGGATGAAATGAAAACGAAAGCAAACCTAAATACTTTTTCGTGAGTATTTGTTTGAATGGTACTCATTATTATTACACAGCTGTTACGAAAATATTTTCACATCTAATTAAAGCCAAACTAAAATGCTTAGTTTCACTCAAACTAAAATCAAGCAGAAACGGTAATGCCAAAAGCAGCAGCAGCAGCCTGCAGATGCAGTAACAATCAACTAATGAAAGTTGTGTGAATGTAAAATACAATGCGGCTTTTAACCTTTTCAAACGGTATATTCCAGACAATACGTAAATTGCATTTTTTTACCACAAAACTTTCCGAGTTTCTTGCTTCTCTGGAACCAGAGTACTAATCGTGGAAGGCACGTTAGTGGTCTTCGATTCGCAGCTGTACCAACTTTTTAAAAGCCAATGAAATGTTAATTTAAAGGAAAAGCGATTTTCCAGACTTAAGCTACTTTAATTGAACGGCACAGATATGTACATACATATGTATGTACATACAATAGAGGTATTCACCAAGTTGAGCCAGTGTCCTGGCACTTTGGCAAAAGAGCAGATTAGCTCAAGCAACGACTGTTGACGACACCCAATTGAGCAAAAAAATATTATTTCATTAGAAGAACATTCGGAAGGTTCCTTTTGGAGTGTTAACAACTTCAGAACTGTATAAGTATGTAGGACGGACATATGTACATATTTACATACTTAAAAATATGATTACAAAGGCAGATTAATGGAAATTTTTGGGATTGAGAAAGTATAAGTTTCCCGGGAATCCTTTACAACGATACCAATTTTTTAAAAATCGGTTTGTAATTTTTTTTTTAAATATTTTTTTTTAGTAAAAAAGGTATTTTTTGCTTTTAAGTGTTGTTTCTCAAATGTTTATATACGAAGTATTCAAATATGCATACCAAAAGAAAGGGTATTTAATCGCCTTTACAATGATACCAAATTTTTAAAATCGGTTAGTAATTTTTTTGTTACATTTTTTTTTTATAAAAAAGGTATTTTTTAATTTTAAGTGTTTTTTCTCAAATTTTTATAAACGAAGTATACAAATACGCATACCAGAAGAAAGAATCTTTGATTGCGTTAACCACGATATCAACTTTTTAAAAATCGATTAGTAATTTTTTTGTTTAAAATATTTGTTTTATAAAAAAAGATATTTTTCCTTTTAATGTTTTTTCTCAAATTTTTACATAAAAATTATACAAATATGCATATCAGAAGAGAAGAATCACGTTTACAACGATACCAACTTTTTAAAAATCAGTTCAAAATTGTTTGAAATATAAGGTTTGCAAAAAAAACAAAGTTAAAAACCATTTAAATAAGAGCAAAAGGCGGTCTACGACTGTATTTTTAGTTTTTTATTTATTTACATATAATAATAAAAAATAATTTTTTACCAAAGATCCTATTTCGAACTTCGAAGGCCCATATCACGGTTTCGGAGGCTAACTTCGAAAAACGGAGAAATTACTTTTTTACCTATGACTCAACCTCATAAAAAAAAATTGGTTTGGTCCAATACCCAGCCGAGAAGTTGGAAGGCGAAATTCGAGGATGTGGTAGTTTACATATTAGTCCTTGACATATATTTTTTTCAAAAATAAATATTGGAAATTTCCAAGGATATTCAAGAATAAAATTTTAAAAGGAAATTTTCAACATTTATTCGTCCTGGTGCAAAAAAAAAAATATTTTTTTTTTTAATTTTACAGAATTTTTCCTTTTAACTGATAGCCATATTGTTACTCTAGA